CGATTCAGTACGAGACAGCTTAGGATTTAGGGAACCTTTAATCGTAGGGTCTCGGCTTATTATTGGTAAAAAGTCATAAACTGGGATTCCTGGATATCCGGTCACCGCAATGTGTACTCCAGGACCTGGGAAATTCGGAGAATTAACTAGCGCAGGCAGAGTTCCAAGAATCCCGGGAGTCGGACGAGAGGGAAAAGGAGAAATACAGATCGTTACGAAATACACCGACTCTCGATGCATCGGCTGTTGAAACCTCGTTTTCACGTTTAAGAATCCTTGATAAAAAAAAATACTAACGTCGACACCACGGAAAGTTCGTCTCGTACCGCAGAACACACTCAAACGTCATAGTGTAGGCGTCAAACCACAGTCAAAGCTGACCACACTTGTACACTGAGTAGTTTATGCCCGCAGCTTGGCCTGTGAAATTTACACCTTATTATCTCGCGAATTATAGCACTTTAATGAAATTTTCACCAGAGAAAGTATATAAAGGACACTCTCTGTGCGATTGAAATTGTTTCATCCTGTGCTATTCGAAGATTGAGTTTCTCGGAAGTTTATGGTCAAACAACAGCAACTTTAGAGCTTGCAATTCTTATATTTGAAGATATTATTTGAAGTATTGCAAGTATTTAATCGTTCCAATGTGACTTTGAAGCGTTCGTTTCCGATGAAATGGATGCACAAGACCTAATTACTCTCTCTAGCATGTTCTTTGGGGCGGTTGTTCACGGTAAACATCACCTTTCGGTTCTCCCCAGGGAAAGAAATCGAGTAAGGTCGAACGAACCCTGGTGTCCGGCATGTTCGATCCAACGATTTGGAAAATCGCGGTTAATTCTCTTGCTGGGCCGTGAAAGAAAGTCATTATGCCGGCGACACTTCATTAGAGCAGTATCAAAAGATCTTTTGAAAGAAACAATTAAAGTACTGTCGTATTGGAAGAGCTACCATTTTGTTCCTAAATAATTTTTAAAATAGTTATCATATCAGTGTGTTCCAATTTTGTTAATATACCACATTTACTATACCACTCGTTTCAAAATAACTACATTTAATTAAAACAAAAATTTAATACTTCCAGATTTGATGATAATAAAAAAACAGTGTCTGTTTGATACACCACTCGTTTCGAAAGAGTTAAATTATAGGATCGAAACAAATTTAATTACAATTACGTTAACGTATAAAAAGAGTGTACAGAGCCTCGGAGAAGAAGATTTAGTTGTCACGGTTGGGGGAATAGGTGCGAGTACATTGTCAAGTTATACTGTACCGGCTCAAAAAAGCGAATCTCTGATTGGATCTCCGACGAAGAAATTCTCGCTGAAGTTTCGTGCCGTCCGCGGCCCCTCGGGATAATTGGCCACTAATTAATGGCTCCGAGGCAATCGAATTTCCTCAAACTTTCTCTCGTCGCAAGAATCCTGAGCGCAGGAGAGCGGCCGATATGCTCCGGTCGTTTTCCTTCGAAAAATTAAATTGCACCAGGGAAAATGAAGCCTTATACCATACGACGCCATCTTATCATTTTATTTATTATTCAGTCCAATTTAATCCCTGCTTCTCGATTTTTAATAACTCAAAATACAACGTAATTAAGTGACTGCAAGATTTGATTTAAAGAAACTGTAAAATATTAAAAATATTCTGGCAATTGTACTATTTTTTATTATTTTCGGATCAGAATTTTAAACAAAAATTTAAAATAAATTTTTATTTCATTAAATCTTACCTTGTTTGGTTCTATATTGGAATATTCATTTATTTTTAACCATAAAACATTTATATTTCGAAAGCAAAATGCGTTGGGGGAAAACGAAAGACAGATTGGAATATAATGTTATTTTAAATGACAATTCAATTGAATACAATTTCATTTTAAATGACAGTGGTCGGAAACATAAGTTTATGTTTCTTACACGAGAATTTTATAAACAAATCTATATTTGCTAAAGAGATGTTTCTAGATGATTTTTCCTCCACAATAATACAAAAGTGGAATAATAAAAATGTTGAATATTATTCTACAGCCAGGTCGAAGGTAGTAAACCTAATAATAAATGCTAAATACCAGGGAAACGTAAGTTTGCGTTTACATACGATCGTTCCACGGACAAATACGAACTCGAGATTAGTTTTGACAACTCCCGAGGACTGGGGACGAGCGCTTGATACTCGAGTTTCAAGTAATTGGCTCGGCAGACATAGTAATTGTAAGACATTTGTAGCAATTTGTCAATAAACTGACAGAAACTAATCGCCATTGAATCGGCACTTTACTTGTGAGCAAACTGTGTCAAACTTGCATGCTACGAACAATAGTAACGAGAGTAACTATGCTCCGAACAGAACCAGATGTCCATGTTTACCGCTGCTGTTGACAGTGTGTGAAAAACATGACTGCAGAGAATGGAGTTGAAAGTTTAAACGAACGCAATCCTCGTTTCTAAGAAAAGAACGAAAGAATGTTTCCTGTTGGCCATTTCGTAGGAATAGAAAGAATTCACGTAAATAATTAACTAATTCTCGCGTAACAAAATTACGAAACGATCGTTCCGTGTTTTGGCTAGATTGTTTCCTTGGGCTCAGAGTCGATTATGAGGTAACACACGGTTCGAGTCATCCTTTCCGACGTAGTTTAGTCAGCGTCTTAGGCAGCTCAATTAGCTTTTCAACTGAGGTAACTTAATCTGTTTTTGCGGTGGATTAGACAACCTTGTTCCTTTACGAGGGAGGTTAACTTAATCAGCCCTTCGTTCCTTTCCAGCATAGGCTAATCAGGCCCTATTCCCGAGGCAATTTAATCGGCCTCAACAAAACAACTCAATCAACAACCGATCCAGCAAAATCTTGCTCTTCATAGTTCATACAAATTTTATAGATTATTAATTATACCAATTATCACCAATTTTTTTTTGAAACTAAAAATGCTTCTGTAATACACTTTTCAAAACAGAAATTAAATCCAATGTGATTCATGTCTTTCCAGACATGAATTAATCCAAATTATAAAGGTATTTAATGTTTGACAATAGGATTAAATAAAAGAATGCTGAAATATTGGTCGATTCTGTACAGGAAGATTTAGTATGGCACTATTTTCATAGAAGTATCCACTGCAAAGCCATCGAGGCGAAAACATTCTCAAGCCAGACGTCCAAGAATAGATCCTTCTTCCTGTTTTCTTGTTAGTATGAAATACGGTTTCACCCACCTATACGGCTCGACCATATCTACGACTAGCATTTCTAACTTTCTTCCATCGCCCACGACCGCTTCGTCCTTCGAGAATGTTTCCCTTTTTCACGCGGCTCCATGAAATCCCGCCCAATTCCAGGGCACAATTTTCTGCTCCGATATGTTCCGGTCTCGAGGCACGTACATATGTTACACGGGGGCACATGAACGCGGCAAACTGCGAGTAATACGTGTGTGCGTGGGCGTGCACGTTTGCTCGCGCTGCGCCGGAGATATATGAAGGCTTCGAGTCGATAAGCAACGCAATCGCGATAGTTCGCGCCCCTGGTATACAAGTACGCGAGTGTAAAACTCATGCTGGAACTTTTATTAACAATACCGCAAAGGAATGGATGCATTCTGCCGCAAAAATTAAGTCGATAACGTAGAATAACGTTTATTCGTATCATCGGTCGTTTCTAAAATAATTACATTTGAAAATTTGTACGTCTGACCATGTTGCGATATTTCTACTTTGACTTGATATTCAAATAATCGTAGTAGATCTGAGTAGTGGGTGATTCTATGAGAAAAAATAAGTCGAGAAAGTGGAATACAGTTTTACGTACAATACTTTGTTTTCGAGGTAATTACATTTGAAAATTTGTACGTCTGACCATATATTGCATTGTTTCTACTTGTACTGATATTCGAATAATTGTGGTCTTACTAAGTAGTGAGTGATTCTACGAGGAAAAACAAGGCAAAAAAATAAATTATAATTTTTTGTACGATGCTTCGTTTTCGAGATAATTACATTTAAAAATCAGTACGCTTGATCATTTATTGCATTGTTTCTACTTGAACTTATATTCAAATAATCGTGGTCTAACCAAATAGTGGGTGATTCTATGAGGGGAAATAAGCCGAAAACGTAGAATACAATTTTTCGTATGATGCTTCGTTTTCGAGATAATTACATTTGAAAATTTGTACGTCTGACCATATATTGCATTGTTTCCACTTGTTCTGATATTCAAATAATCGTGATCTAACCAAGTAGTAAGTGATTCTATGAGGGAAAATAAGCCGAAAACGTAGAATACAATTTTTCATATGATACTCCGTTTTCGAGATAATTATATTTGAATATTTTAGTGTATCTCACTAATTTTCGCTGTTTTTACTTGCATCAATGTTAGAGTTTTAAAAATCGATTTTCTTTTAAATAAAGTCTGATACGGAAAAGTCATATTCTACATTTTTGATTGATTAAGGGGATATTCTACTTTCTGATCGAGCAATCTTATTGATTTTCAGGAATTTTTTTTTGTACGAGAAAATAATAACGCAGCAATTTGAAACTTTGACATTATGTTTTAGTATCCTTAAATTTCACATAAAATATTTTATTTTTTATTTAAAATTCACTAGTACAAATTTTACTCGATTGCAGGAGTGCCTCCAAAGACTGCATACTTAGAGATTAATGATTAAATTAATGATTACTCATTATTCGAAATCTTTAAATAAATAATATCGTTCATCCTTGGCGTAACAATGCAGAATACATTTCTAAAGAATGTCGAATAGTTTCTGTTACTTTCAAAGAAGGTTTCCAAAGTAGATGGGACCACTGCCTTTCTGTGCCTTCACGATTGCAGTTGAACGTTAAATGCAACTTCGTCACGACTATAACCAATAAGAAAGAACATTGTTTAAGATATATTCTGTTTTGATTAAAAAAGAATTAAAGAAGAAGGTGGTGAAAAACGGATCAATAATATGGTTATATTTTTTGTGTTGGTTGTTTCAAGTCATGGCACGATTACAAGCTGCGATGGGAGCCAAAGGAGTACGGGGGAGTTCACATGCTACACGTGCCCTCCGACCACATATGGCGGCCCGACATAGTCCTCTACAACAAGTGAGTCTGCCTGCCGTTTCTTTGTTCTATATTCTAATCTTCTATAGTTTCACATTACATACTCTATACATATAGTAGTGGCACAGCATGCTGCCGACAGATCTGAGCCGTTTGGACGTTCGTTTCTTCGACAATGTTCTCCTAGCTATTCTTTTCGTCGAATTAAACGCAAATAAATTCTAGTTTGGTATTTCAAAAGGCTTGTAAGCCATTAGAAACGTTTATACTTTACCAAAATTTCAATATTTCAATATTTATCGGATCCTGGGGCTATCTGTTCTCAAATTTTGTTCTCTCGTTTCGCCTAAATCGAGGCATCGATACGATCAAACGCGTAAACGTTCCTACTCCCGTCCCTAATATATGGCGACGTTCTCGGGCACGTTATATAGTAACAAACAAACGGAAAGGAGAAACGAGTGTCCACTCGACTTAACAAGAGAGGTACCATCGTCGTGCATATTGCATTTCAAAGTAGAACAGTCTATTTGATGTCGGAGTGCATCTCATATCACGACGTCGTCCCGAAAGTTACGCAAAAATGCGATGCGATCTTGAATTCGATCATAAACTAAAACTCATCACCTCGACTCTTTACTTCATCAGACACTAATTATATTAAACTGATAAAAATCGACCAGGATTATTCCTATGTATCGTTCGATCTTTTTTCTGAACGTTATTTGGGGAAGAAAATAATTATCCAATCAAGAAACATAGTTTCCGATACGAACCATTTTTACCCTGTTTACCATCGATCGATACGAAGAAGATCGATCGAAGTAGGTTATTTATGATAGAAAAATTGACGGTTGCGTCCGAAACGATTATTTTTAAAAGACTGTTAATAAATTTCGCCAAGGTTCGACGCATGTTTGCGTAACTTTTGCTCCGTTTGACAACGGGACGAGCGAGAGCCAACGAAGTCGTTTTCCGTTGGTTTTTGGCTCGCGTTCCCGATGTAGTTGACCGGATAGATTATTATTTACATCGCATGAAACATGGGCGCTGCGGCGAATGTTCGTGCGAATGATTCTTGACAAACGGGCGGAGGTCACGAGAGATTTGTTTCCGCTCGTTCGACGCCGTAGTCGCTTCTCGAATACGTCGCGCAAAATCGCCATAGACAACGTTTACAATCTTCGGGACTCGTGCTACGACACGTCACGACGGCCGACAACCTTCGAGGCTGTGTCTACAAACGCGCCACGACGCCGTGCAAACCGGGGCAAACCGTGCTACAAACGTTCACGACGATCGCGATTCATCGAGAAATTTTCGATCGTTGGTCTCTCAACCCAGAGCGCTTAAAATACTCGATAAACGACAAATAGAATAAACTCGCGATAAGAGTTTCATTTTTATTCGTTCGTTGTGATTTCATTAATTAAATTGTAATTTTTATTTTACAAATGTTTCTCGGATACATTTTTATTCTCCGTTTTAATCGTACTTGAGTTTCTTTTTTTGAGGCCCCCATTCGGTTTGTTGTAAATCCTACAATTTTTAATATTTTTCTAAGAAAAAGATTGTGGATACTCTGGAAATATAGAGCTGAAAGTAGGGAATCTAACAAAATTAAAAAGAAAAGTTTCTTCCCTTTAAGAATTTGTAAGGAATCGACACATTTTTTTTAAGATCCACACTTGATTTGTTGTAACTCCTACAATTTCTAATATTTTTCTAAGAAAAAGATTGTGGATTCTCTGGAAATATAGAGCTGAAAGTAGGAATTCAAACTTAATTAAAAAGAAAAGTTTCTTCCCTCTAAGAGAAATTTGTAAGAAATCGAAAATTTTTTTTTTTTAAGATTCACACTTGATTCGTTGTAACTCCTACAATTTTTAATATTTTTGTAAGAAAAAGATTGTGGATGCTCTGGAAATATAGAGCTGAAAGTAGGAATTCAAACTTAATTAAAAAGAAAAGTATCTTCCCTCTAAGAAAAATTTGTAATGGATCAACACTTTTTTTAAGATCCACATTTGACTCGTTGTAACTCTTTCAATTTTTAATATTTTTCTAAGAAAAAAATTGTGAATTCTTTGGATACATAGAGCTGAAAATATAAATTCATATCAAATGGGAGAAAAAATCCTCTATTGTAACAAAAATTTATAAGATAATGTGAATATTACTGGTGAATATTTTTTTCCAGGAATGTTTAAGGACGAGGCTTCTGCTTTTCCGTGTCATTTTTCCTTGATTTCCTCCCGCGATCGAGAAACATACCGCTTTGCGCTTACGCCAGTTAAACCCCTCTGGCAACAGATTTCTCGTCCCTCGACTAACTTGATTTCTCGCAGTTCCATTAGTCTCCCGCTTATTTCTCCTTTTGCTTTCGACGTTTTCGTTCCTTATTTCTGACTCGCCGTCTGTTTGTCTCTGTCCCGCTCGCTTTTCCCCCGGATTTCCTTATTTTTTCACTCGACGCACGACCGCGTACAAAGGCGGCGATTTATCGCGCCGCCGGTAAGCTAGTTTCATCGATTGATATCGGTTTTAAAAAAATGAATGGAAACGCGAAAGGGAAATCGTCGACTGGAACGCCTGAACTCGACCTGTCAAAAAGAAAAAAAAAAATACGGACTGGCTGTAGCTACGAACAAATTGGAAAAGTTAGGGGATCGTCAGAACCTTTCGCTTTACACAAAAATAATATTCGATTACGGAAAAATAATATGAAAATTTCTACGAAAAGTTTGAATGAAAGATACACTAATTTGGAGAATTGTAGATTTTTTATGCAACTTTGTTTGGATACTCTCTTTTCTAGCCTTGTGAAAATTATAATAATACAATAAAACATAACCGATGATTCGAGGGTCAGGTCTACAGTATTTTTTTCTTGTAAAAATAATGAAAATTGTACGAGTTATAAATAATAAAAGCAACCCCTTAAGACGATATTTTAGAGACACCCAATTTTCAGGCCTTGTTTGTTATTTTTTAAAAAGAAAGTCATAGATTCTTTTATATAAAGACTCCGTGTATATATCCAGTGATGTTTTGACTATACACAGTAATTTTTCAAGCAAAAATAATGAAAATTGTACAATTTAAAAAAAATTCAACTAAGTCCCTATAAGGAGATATTTCAGACGCGTGAAATGTTATCTTTGTTATTTTTTAAAAAGAAAAAATGCAGTAGATAACGATTATCGATGATGGACAATTTATTTGTAATGGTCGTTTGTAACCGAAAATATTTTGATTCAACGAATAATTAGTATCCTAGGGTTTCTTTCCATTTCGGTTATAACTGTTAGGGTCGTGAAATGTTGTGAACCCGATAGCACGTTGCGTGAAAAATCTTGTTACTTTTGTTCGAGCTTTCACCCCCACGGTTTTCGTGTATTGAAAAAGCGTTTGTTTTACTCTCTGAATAACTACTCTGTTTGGCTCAGGACAATTCGAATATCGTTCTTTGTACGAACGAACCGCGGAGCTAAAATCATACCTGTGTGCCCGCAATTGGTATACTTTGGCGCTTCGACAGGAGACAGGGACTACAAAATGCAAACCGCGGCCTGAAAACAATTTTCAAACGCAGATAAAAACTATACAAATTCTCTAAATTAATTTTTCTGGAACCAAAAAGCTCGAGAATATTTTATTTAATTTTATCAAATTTTAAATGAGACCTGTGCGATTTCAAAAGCTCAGAGCTATTTGAAAAATAACAAATTTATTATTCGATGGTTTACCTGAACGTTGTAGAGAAAAATTTTTGAAACAAAAAATAAATGTTCTCGAGTAAGCAGTATTTATACTGTCAATTGAAAACCCCAAGATTCGAAAATATTTTGAAACACGTTATTTGCGAAATATTGATTAATCCTAATCGAAATAAATGTCGCCCTTTAAGCACAATTTTCGGTTTATTATTTAACAGATAATTAAATATTTTGCTACAATTACGTTACTAGTAGATCGTGTGGGACCATCTTATGCCATTTGCATTATAGAACCAAGTGGAACTAATTAAGGAAGGCAATCGATAGTCGAATTAAGAGCAGGTGTTTGAACGGACGTGATTAATTCTACAGAACATTATTCCGCGAGTTCGTCCACACTTGTGCATACATCTGATACACACACACACAAAAACATTCTCATCACTTGTACTTATTTTTTAAACGGAACAGTCCTTTTTTTACTCAAATCTAATTACTGATTTTTTAAGAAATTTAATCAGAAATATTTGCATATACGTTGAAATTAAAAAGGAACGGAAAAAGTTGACACAGCGCGTCGTCGTTTTAATTATAGCTTCGATAGAATGCCAGGCTTTCTTCCCCAGTCGTTATAACCGGCATCATCGTTGTCATCGCCTTGGTTATTTCCTCGCGGAAGACGATCATCTGCTTTCGCCCACACCTCTGGAGCTCCTTGCATGCATTAGCGAGATGAAAATTACTCGTGAGTCCCCATTCTACGTCCCACTTTCGTCGTTGTCCTTTTCATTTCTCGACGGGCCGTTTGAGAGCTTCTCCCGCTCGATTAAGCGTCTTCCACTGCCAAGAAGAACAGGGCTCGTTAATATAGCCATGACGACTGGAGACGAAGACAATCGGGGTCATTAATTACGCTTTACAGTCGATCCAACGGGGGTATTATTTTAACGATCCATTAAAAAATTTTTTTTTAGATTCTCCTACGAACCTTCGATAAAATCAATTTTATTTTTAAACCTTCTTAAAGAACGTACTTTCGAAAATATATTTCAAATGGAAGTTTATGCTCGGATTTAAAAAAATAATGAATTTGTAACTGTTCGAAGTATACGATTGCGTCTTTCTCGAAACTGGTTCTGGATGATCCAGTGAAGGTGATTTGATTTTTTTGTGCCTCAAAAAATTTTGGAATATTATTTAAGCACGTGTGAAGAGACTTTGTAAATTTGACTGTGGAAGGTTTCGTAGTTTTCTTGGAAAAAATTCCTGAATTTGGAAAGATCGCATTTTAGAGTGTAATACTTGGTTGAAGTATTTTATATG